GCTGCTTTAGTGGCAAGGCAGATAGTCCTTTTGTTTCTACATTACCTTTTGTGATTACCTGAGGCAGTCCTGCTGTCATGTCAAGGAAACACTTCTGATTTTAAGTGCATATTGCATGTAATTCATTGCATAATAAGCATTAACATATGTTCAACTGCAGAAAAACTTAATTAGAAAATGCATGTCAACGTGTATTTTAGAAAATTATTTTATTTCAATACAATGGTCAAATTAGGGCACTATTTAAGACCACATGTTTGCTATATCGCACAGCACCATATTAAAGAAATATCTGTTTTAGATGCTAATGAGCAAAACCATTTGTTTCAGCTAAGATTAATAAGCAACACTACTTTAATAGTTATACTCTTGATCGGTAAATAAAGCACAAACTGGGGTCCCATAAGTGTGTTTTTGAATCCTGGGGTGCATGCTGTTATTTTAGATCTCAACTCCCACTCACATTTCTCCTAAAATCTTCTTAAAGAAAAATAATCATAAAATCTCCCGCTAAAAATTCAGATTTAAAATAAATACTTTTTACACTTTTTCCATAATCCCAATTTGTTATGAACTGCCGCCTTACTTTGTATTCTGTACATAACTCATCTTTTATCAGCAACATATGGCTGTGTTCTCAGCTGCCTTGTGCAATATTTGTCCTTAGTTCACAAAATACATAAAATTGTTATCAAATATGATCTGAACAGAAGGTTCTTAAAGCAAAGTAACTGCTGTATGTTAGGGGTAAGAGTGGAAAAGTGGATAGTTAAAACATCAACAAAAGGGCTTCCTGGCTGTCAATTCCAGAATATGAGTGGGCTGCTTAACTACTATAGACAACTATAGACCGATCAAAGTCTGCAGGACATGAACAAATATCACAGACAGTATATTAACGCTGTGTAGGTGGAACTAAAAGCATGACAAAGGGCGACTACGGTAAATAACCTAAGAATGAGGTCTTACTTAGAACTTGATGTACTCTGGAGCAACATTTAGACAAACGCAAGAAAGTATTATTATGGCGGACAGAGTGATAACAACATAATATTATTAAAGTGTTGATTAATTTCAAGCTGATTACATGATGTTTTAACAATGAGATTACATATAAATTAAATAAACAATATGTCACACGTCCTTTTAAGATTAAAAATGAATTCAGGTAATTATTTCAATTAAAGACACCATGTAGGGGCACATCCTGATTATTAAGTAGAAACAGCCAAACCTCATTTGCACATTAGTACACTGAAGTTCCTAAACAGCCTGCCCTGGAAATATTCAACATAAAGAAAAACAACTTCCAACCAAAGTAAAATGCCTCAAATTTAACATAAACTACTTTAATTAAAAACTTTTTTAACATTCAACTTCATTCCTAAAGACAAAGAAAATTAATAAATGTAGAAAAAAAGAAAAAAAAAGACACTAGTAATAAGATTGAAACCGCTAACCATTAAAGTGATACAGTAATATCATGGATCATTGTAAATAGCTGTATAAGTAAATAGCTGAATAATTAAGAATGAGGACAAATTAGCTCTGAAAGATGACAAGAAACAACAATGGCTAAGAGTCAGAAAAACTGTTAAGCAGTTAAGCATAAAAAGGCAGAATAAAACATAAAAATACATAAAATAAAATACAAACATATAAAATAACGCTGAAAAATACTTTGCTGAAATAGAACTCAACTGTTTAGAATATTGAATTTAGTGTTGGCTTGCTATGGCAAACACTAAATGACTTCAGTGATGGACAACCAAGATGGGGGTGATCAGAATCAGAATTTTGCACTGTGGAAGTAAAGATGTCCCATCCTGAGGAAGCAGTTTAGCTAACAACAAAGAAGGATAGCAGCTGAAGTGCTGCTTGTCAAACCCTCAAAATTCTACATGTACTTTTAAATACCCCTAATACACATATTGTCAGGTTGGGTGGAGGTTTTTAGCGGACCCAAATGCAGAGACTGAAGCTGAGGTGGTTCCTCGAAGATTTGACAACATAAAGGAGGCAACTGAAGCAAAAGTCCAAAAACAAAAAACAGAAAACAGGAAACGTCATGGAAAACACAGATGAGGAGCAGACAAACGACGAGAAATCAGCAAAAAGTAACTGAAGAGGAGGAGTATAAATGGGAGACTCAAATACAACCAGAAAACAACACAAAAGGAAAATGAAACCAATGAAGACTCAAAAAGAAAATGTAAACATTGCAAAACCGTGACATGCGTTTATGCCTGCCAGCAGGTAGTAGGTCTAACGTCTAGGACAAGCATCTGCAGACTGCGACAATTTTTAGACATGTTATGTTATATGTTTGGTTTCAAATGCTGTCTTCTACAAGGCAGAGGAAGAAAAACAGTTTCATTAATTAGTGACTGTGCTTCTTCCTCTGTAGGAGCCCTGAAAGGAATGTTCAGATGTTTAGTCTTACTTTTCTCTGCAATATGGTTACCAGATCCATAAATAGAAAACCATACTTTATTTTGAATCCAGTTTTATTTTTTTTTCAAAGGGCAATATTTGACTTACTGAGCCAGATCAAGATGTCTGCATGACTGTCCCCACCTACACAACCTGTGGAGAGCTGTGTCAAAGCTGTGTCTGACATTGCGGTGGGTTCCAGCTGTGAAACTCCACCTTCCCAGTAACTCATGAAAATGGGGTTATACTGTGTATTCAGAGATTTATAGTTTTTATAAATTTACTTTGTTCTTTTTGTGCAGTTTAGCTAGTGTTTCCTCCCATGGCTGGGCCCAAAAGCAGGTTGTCAGCACAGACAGCGAGTGCAAAGCAAAAACTCTTCACAGGACATCTACTGTGAGTTAGAAATGGAGAGTGGCAACAAATCCCAAGGGAAAAAAGATAGCCTGGAGTTATGCATGTGTGTATGCTGCTGCTGCAACCCCCACCCCTTTCACAGTTCAACCTTACAGCAGAGTAAAGGGTTGATTTCACCTAATACTCACAACCTTGTTCAGTGAATAATGAGGATGATATTAAATTATGCATGTTTTTGTATTTGAAAAGGGGGTTATACTGGTAAAACAATTCAAATTTAAGTATATTCTACTGTACATTTCAGTAACATATGAAAATGTAAGACTGTGGACTAGCCTGCGTGATACCAGAAATACATGACAATACTAGGGCACTCACCAAAAAGTCAACTTGCTGACTTAATTAGGCTGAGAAGACTCACATCTGGACAACACCCCCACCAGATAGAGCCTGCATGGCGGTGTGTGAAAGGCATGAAAAACTGGTCTGTTATAAGCTTATTCATACTGTAAATGACACAGCAGGCTCAGCAGATGGAAAACAGCAGATAAGCCTTGGGTAAAAAAAGAAGAAAGTGTGTCTCTCAATGGTGCATATTTGTTTAAAAAAGGCTTATTTTCATTAAAAGTGAATTGATAGAGTAGCCAAAAATGTTAATGTCAAGTAAGAGTGGTGATACTGTAGTATCACATTTTTACTTACGTTAAAATAAAAAGTACAGTGCATTATATCTAATCCTAAATTGTTTTGTGTGGTTTTTTTTCCCCCAAACATTACTCAAGTACTGTAAATGTAAGTGAGTGAATGTAACTATTTACTACCCACCTCTGGATATGATGTCATCATTGCTTCGACTCAACTTTTACTGTCAAACAGTTGACTTACAAAAAACACAACTCCTTAACGCCCTTTACCACTCAATTTAATGTAAGATCTTGAAAGAATTGTTCCCACAATGTATCTGCTCATGAGTAGCTTGTAAGAGACTTTTTTTCTTACACAATATCTTTAGATCATTCAGAATCATTGGTCTTCTGTTACATTCCCCTTCCTTTCTGAATTAGCTGGGAAAAATAAAATGGCCATAAAAGAAGGTTGATGTTCCTAAACTCTTTCTGTACTAATTTGTCTAAATTTCTGCATCCTTATCTGGCTGGTATAGTCCTTAATGACCCATTTATTTTCATCCAGAAAACTAAAGTTCATGATGTCATGCATTCTAGATAATGTGTCACCCCTATCAACACAAATCATTCACCATACAGTACTTATGAGTGGGCAGAAAGTAGAGATGGACTGTTACATCAGTTGGCCGATATTTTGGGCTCATATTATCTATTTCTTTTTTCTTGTATCGGCATAGGGTTGTACATAAAGTTATTTGAAAATTCAACATTGGCCATTCTGGTGGTAACATTAATAGCCTATATTACAGTATAAGATAAAACAAAGATTTAAAATACTCTTTTCCTTAAAACGCTTAGCCTTTTGTTTGATCTTTCTGTAAAAAAAAAGGTTTTAATACTTAAGGGGATTTCATTTAAACAAACAAAAAGAGCAATGTCTTGCAAGAATTTCCAAAAAAAAGAAAAAGAAAACTGAGCTGACAGGTGGCTAATGTTGACAAGTTTCACCCCCACTATGCCTTTTCATTGTCCTTAGTGTTAAGCTTTGGCCACCTACACAGTCCAATGGTTGCAGAAATAATAAGGAGAAAAATAAGGAGAAATAATATTCTTTAATAGAACCCTTTTTGTTAGAGATAAAAATAAAAGATAAGAACGAGGTGAACATTTTGAGGGACAGATAGGTTTGGTTTAAAATACAGTATGATCTCACTCAAAGTAAAATAATGAAACATGGTGATTTGAACAGTGATATAAGAGTTAAAACAAAATCACATGCTACATAATAACTCCAAGCATCCTTAATCATGTAGAGTGCGTCTCAGTGATGCCATTCAAGCTGTCAATCTGCTGCACAACAAATTGTGTTTAATTCCAACAGGACGTTTTCTTCAAACCAAAGGATATTAATGAGATTTTCAAAGTCATCTCCTCCTCAGGGTAAATCAGAAAAGACCTGGTCCTTTAGGATTACTCGCAATTTCTTTTGATTTCTTTCTTCCACTAACAATAGTGTGATGGGGAAAGTATTTGAATAATTTTAAAAAGATAAGGTATTAAAACTAGTAACAAGAAAAGACATACCATCAAATCTTTTATGTCTGGAGACAAATGTGCTTCTCAGCGTATGACTTCTCTCATCAAGCAGATTTTCGATGTCAAGCTTACTTCGCTGACCAAATTTGTCCTCCATTTCTTGCGTGCAACAAGTGTGTTCATGAGTGCAAACACGGAGATCTTCTCCTGTAAAAGAAAAAGAGCAAAACACATATTTGTTGTTTTTTGTTAGTTAATTAACACCAACTGCTAATAGACTTGACACGTTTAATGGTGAGATCAGGCCAAATGCGATTTTAGTCAACAGAGTGGTCAGTTTAATTGTGATCTTTATGTAGAAGTACATTCAGGAGCGCAGAAATGCAAATTGTTGCAGGTTCCTCTAGAGATGGGACAGGCATAATTATGGTAATGACTGAAGTATTTGTTGTAGTGACTGTCGCTGGAGTCAGCATCAGAACTTTTCTGTCTTGTTGCATTTTGACAACCAAAAAGGGACTGGATGTGGCTGTTGCTTAGGGTGAAGGAGCTTTTTTCATACAAAAAAAGAACCAAAACACATTCTGGCATAGGATGAAGTAAACAGTGATCTTAACCTTTTAACTGCATGCCAACTAGGGGTGTGGGAAATAATCGTTTTGGCGATATATCGTGATATTCGGCTGCCCAATATAATATCGATCTTTCACTTCTTAGTATCGATTAAAAAAAAAAATGGTTACATAAACATTGATAAGAAAATGGGCTACCTCTGCACCACCACTCTGGCAGAAAGCGCTGTGGAGCGCTTTAACTGTGCATGCAGCACCAAATCTGTATTTGAGGCAGTCACAGTGGAAGAAAACCCCAAACAACATGGATAATAATACCTAATCAATATTTTCTGATGAAAATATACAGCATTTGCTGTTTTATCTCATCATTTGATTTTGATAGCTGGGGAAAATATGGCAATATATTGTGATACAGCAATATCGTGATAATATCGTATCGTGACCCAAGTATTACGACATGTATCGAATCGCAACACTCATGCCAATACTCACCTCTAATGCCAACTTCCATTTTTGCTGAACAATTGGTCAACCATGTGGTTGATCAGGCAGTTTAATGATTAAGAGCTTTGTTGGTGACTTATAAAAAAGCCCTTTAAATAAGCTCTTAAAAGGACTGTTAAATCCTTAATCATTTGCGCTAATCTCCTAGCTCCAGAGCTGGCCCCAGCCACCCGCCTCCTCCTTGCTCCGATCTTTGGGTGTCCTCTTCTGCTCTTTCACTATTCCCTTTGTTAACTGCAGACCTGGGCCCAGCCACCCGCGTCCTCTCCCCTGCTCTGGTACACTCTTTGCACAACGTCTTACTCCGATCTCCTATCATTATCCTTCGATCTAACGCTGTAACCTCCCTGAACTCCAGATTGGAGCACAGCTGGCCACCTCTCCCGCCCTCTTGCGGACTCTCTGCCCGCATTCTTGTCTGATCTCCTCCACTTCTCTTGTCTGAGCTCCAGAACCGCCTCACCTTTTGCCTGAGGTGTTCCTCCCTCTTAACCAGGAAAGATGCGGGTACTGGTTAAACAGAAGTGGGAAGCTACTGTGATCCAGCTGTAGCTCCTGGCCTACCAGTACTGGGAGCATCTCTGTAGAATCTAGCAGACACAGGAATAATATGGCTGCTGTTAAGCCTTTCATATTGAATAAAGCACCGTGACCGTGGGGAGTGGAGGCCTAGTGGTTAGGGAATAGAGCTTGGAATCCTGAGGTTCTGAATTTGAGCCCCACTCCCACAGACTGCCACTATGGGTCCCTGAGCAAAAGACCCTTAACCCCAGACTGATCCCTGCGTGCAGTACAATGGAAGCCCACTGCTCCCTAACGGGATGGGTTAAATGCAGAGAGTTCATATCGTTGCTCTATACCTATGATAGTGTAATGATAATAAAAAAAAAAAAAAAGCAAAGTTGTTGGACATGTTCTTTAATATCCAGGTCCACCACACTTAGTTTAAATAGTAAGCAACAGATAGCTGCTTCCTCTGTCTTGTGGCATGGTGAAGCGACAGGAGAGAAGATTGTTGCACAGCATGCAAATTGCTGCCGATATGTCATGTTCAGTGTAAATGCACTATAAGAATAACATTTAATAGCAAATAAAATATAACACTTTCCAGATTTCAAATAAAAAAGACATATTGTCAGATTACCATAAACATTAGTTCGTAATAGGTGGATGTTTGAACAGTTGAACTAAAAAAGTGTGGGTTTAAGGGTGATACTTCTGATTTACACTGATTAATCTGTTTTTTTTTAAGTGGTTTCATAAGAAGCCAATCAAATAATGGGATTATGAAATGTCATTTAGATGTGTTATATAGAGGAAAGCAGTGGTTCTGGTGCACTAGACCTCTATTTATGGCCCTTCAGATCAGGGTTTATAGCGTGAGTGAATTTAATGAAATCTGCTTTAATTCAATTAACATAACTAGTATGGCATGCTCAACAATTAGGGTCAGGATTTTATGTAAATCGCATATGATAATCTTTAAGGAATTTTTTTTCTTGTCTAAGGGAGAATTTCTGTACTTTATATCCCATCATAAACAATGTAATTTGATAATACATTTTATAAAGATGAACATGGTCTAAATGTTTTTATTTAAACAGGCATTTAATGTGCTCAGAAAGTTCTATTTTCCCATTAAATTTTATCCAGATTTTTTACCAAAGAAAATGATTTTGGAGAAAGGAGTAGGACAACACTACCATTCAGCAAGCTTTTGCTGTGCACTGCCTGTCAGATGGTTTAAAGTAGTCATCTTCAGAATTCTGCTACAGGGGTTTAAGACGGATTTCCTTCTATCTTACAAATTAAAAACATTTCTTCCCTGAAAGACCAGAAGTGTTCATGGTGCTGAAACTTAAGGAACGCCACCAATAACTCTCAATTTGGTGTGACAGGACTTCTATCCAAGCACTTAAACCTTGTCAAATACTGTAGATCTAAATGTGAGGAAATTAAGTAGGTTTTATAGAACACGATGTCCAATGAACTATTGCATGTTTGTTATGTTAAGGGATATAGTAGGATGGGTTACTTTTACAGTGGCTATTCTGAGAAGTTAGATGGTTTCACTAAAGAGGCCCGCTTCGCAATGCAGGTTTTACAAACTCAGACTTAAATCATCAACTCTGAACTGAACCACCCTAAGGTTGGAAACTGAGTTCATGGTTTGAAAACAGCTGCTGTGAGTTAGTTTAATCAACTCCGAGTAGGTTCACATGGACTTGAGCATGTGTATAACAACTATGAAAAGCCATTATCAGTGGAGCCCTGATTTGACGATTGACCATGACAACAGGGAAGAGGATGTGCCTCTTTCACACCACTGGAGAGGTTTTAATGTAGCATTAGAAAAAAATATTGGAGAAAGTTTTTAAAAGAGTGTGCAACAGCACCACAGCAGCAAAGGTGAGGTAGATGGCGTAGGAGAATATCGCTGCTTGAGTCAATGTGTAAGTTTATACTGTAAGTAGTGTGAGTTTGCAGGCCGTTTTGATTTTTATTAAAAGCACTCGTCTCTGCTGTTTAATTTGTAGGTCGCTAATATAGGATTCTTCCTGGTCAAAATCACATTCCGATACAAGAATGTAATGAGATTTTCTAAATTAGATTGTAGTCAGTTTTAACCTAATTTTAGAGTGTAAGCAAACAAGATTACACTTCTAAGAAATACGTTTCATATATCTAAAACATTTTACACATTTTAAGTAGCTGTTTGACATTTATCAATTTGACATTTATCAGTTTGACTGAATATGTATTTATCATATCTGAAATCCATTTCTTCCTGTTCAAAATAATACAAATGATGACCAGTAACAGTAGGAATATATAGATCCAAAATGTTTTTAATACATCCAGAATGTTTATCTTAGATATAAAAAAAATTATTCATTTTGACAAGGACAGGCTGTATTTCAGATTTGAGAAATGCATATTCAAACAAACTAATGAATATGCCTGCCATAGCCTGTTGCAACCAGGATAACATTACCAGGGGAAAACTATTAGTTGAGCTGTTGAATGGTAGTGGATAAATTTATTAATTTTAGGTGAAATGTTAGGGGGGAAAAGGACACCTGACAGCAAGTGAAGTATAAGAATATTGTTTTAATGGGTAGGACCTGTGCATCATCTAATGGGGTTCCTCCTCATTTTGATTCTGTCTTCCATTACACAGTAAATACTAAGTGGCTGTTTGACTGCAACTGTTTCCTATAACGGTGTTACCAAACATCAATGTGCTTTCACTCATATTAATTACTTATAAAGACATGTTAAAGAAATTAGTGCTGAGGATGTGAGGACAGATAAGGTCATGGATGTATGTGATGTATTATTAGATGAAACGGTAGCACTCATAAAGATAACTTTCTGAATCTGAAGGACATCTATATGCGGCCTCCTAATGTATATTTAATTCTCTGTGATTAAATGTTGCCCTTTCTGTAATTTGATCCTCGTCTAAAGGACAAGATATGTTTGTGTTTTTAGCATCTAATGTGCCTAATGGACCTATGTGAATGTTTTTCTTTTTATTGTTCGGGTAAAACTGTGACGAAAATCTCCTTGCAAGATCAGAAAAATAAACCAGCGTGATTGGCTTTGAGGAGGGTGGAGGGAGAGGAAACTTTATTGTTGAGTTTATTGAGGAAACAGAGGTTGAGTGAACTCTCCTTGTAAAATGAAAAACTCAGAATTTCCCCCGATTTCAGTTTTAAAAACTTGGAGTTTTCAGTAAACCTACTTTGTGAAACGGGCCCCAGGTCTTCCTGACCCTAAAAAAGCCAAAATGAAGTAAAATGTTTTGGAATATTGAACATGACATGCAAGTAGGCAAAAAAATAAAAAATAAAGAAAAAAATGCTTGACTGAATGTTTGACTATTTGCAATGTTATTTTTAACTTGTACTTTATCAGACAAATATTGAGCTGTTAATGGTAAGAAGGAAATAGTAAACCTAGTAGATTACATATTTTGTATACAAAAATCTTTTATGCATAAAGCATGCATAAAGCTTCTTTGACAAATCTAAGTATGATACTTTTGTAAAAAAATATATATTATTTTTCAAGGCTGTCTATATTGACAAAATGTGCCAATAAGTAAAGACTCAACACCAAATG